AATACTACTGAACAAAATAAAAGTATCATACTCAGAATAACAACACATATTATACATGTAGTCTGTAGCAGCATGATCGATATTGGCCTTTGCTGTGACTGATGAGTAGCCTCATTTAGATAAAGTCAACCGCCACGAAAGGATTTGTTAGAATTGTGTCTTCTGTCAATTGAGTCAATAAAGCAAGATATGAGCAGTGGTGCTTGAAAACTTAACTGTAGGAAGATGAATGTTTCTCTGACGAGATATAACTCACGTCTTTTCGTTTTCCAGTTGACTATTGTCAGATTTCATCTAGACACTATTCACTTGAAGATGCGCGTGGATTTTGTTATGATTCCGTTGTATGAGCACCACTCATTTCAGAGACGTAAGAAGTAATTTTAGTTGTAAAGAATACAACATATTTTTATTCGGCATTTAAAATACTTTAGATTGTGCACAGTGCAGGTAAAGCACCATGTCTATGTTTCAGGAAGTGACATCCTTGCGTAAACGCCACAGTTCTGAAAGTGCCTGCTAACCAAGCTTCGTCAGTCCCTCCAACTACATTCCTAGTTCAGCATCTTTTACGTTTCGTAGATAGAACGTAATCTTATTATTTCAATCTAAAATACAACAATTTGTTCAATGGCTAAGTTGCCTCCTAATATACAGACTGTTTACTCTGTTGATATGCAAGACAGAGACAATGTACTCTGTTGATATGTCAGATACAAACAGTGTGCACTGTTGATATGCCAGATAGAGACAGTGTACTTTGTTGATAAGTCAGATACAAACAGTATGCTTTATTGGAATGCCAGATAGGCAGTGTACTCTGTTGATAGGCCAGATAGAGACAATGTACTCTGTTGATAATTCAGATTCATGCCTTATGCTCTGTTGATAGACAAGATAGAGACAGTGTGATCTGTTCATAAGTCAGATACAGACTGTTTGCTCTGTTGATATGCCAGATAGAGACAGTGTACTCTGTTGATATGTCAGATACAGGCCTTATGCTCTGCTGATATGCCAGATAGAGACAGTATACTCTGTTGATATGTCAGATACAGACAGTCTGCTCTGTTGATATGTCAGATGCAGGCCTTATGCTCTGTTGATACGTCAGACACAGACCGTGTGCTCTGTTGATATGCCAGATACAGACAGTGTACTCTGTTGATATGTCAGATAGAGACAGTGTACTCTGTTGATATGTCAGATGCAGGCCTTATGCTCTGCTGATATGCCAGATAGAGACCGTGTACTCTGTTGATATGTCAGATGCAGGCCTTATGCTCTGTTGATATGTCAGACACAGACCGTGTGCTCTGTTGATATGCCAGATACAGACAGTGTACTCTGTTGATATGTCAGATGCAGACAGTGTACTCTGTTGATATGTCAGATGCAGACAGTGTACTCTGTTGATATGCCAGATAGAGACAGTGTACTCTGTTGATGTGACAGATAGAGACAGTGTACTCTGTTGATATGTCAGATAGAGACAGTCTGCTCTGTTGATATGTCAGATGCAGGCCTTATGCTCTGTTGATATGTCAGACACAGACCGTGTGCTCTGTTGATATGCCAGACACAGACAGTGTACTCTGTTGATATGTCAGACACAGACCGTGTGCTCTGTTGATATGCCAGATACAGACAGTGTACTCTGTTGATATGTCAGATAGAGACAGTGTACTCTGTTGATATGTCAGATGCAGGCCTTATGCTCTGTTGATATGCCAGATAGAGACCGTGTGCTCTGTTGATATGTCAGATAGACAGTGTGCTCTGTTGACATGCCAGATACAGACAGTACTCTCTGTTGATAGGTCAGATAGAAACAGTGTACTTTGTTGATATGTCAGATACAGGCCATATGCTCTGTTGAAATGCCAAATAGAGACAGTATACTCTATTGAAATGCCAGATAGACAGTGTGCTCTGTTGATATGCCAGATAGAGACAGTGTACTCTGTTGATATGTCAAATACAGGCCTTATGCTCTGCTGATATGCCAGATAGAGACAGTATACTCTGTTGATATGTCAGTTACAGACAGTATCCCCTGTTGATAAGTCAGACACATACAGTGTGCTCTGTTGACATATCAGATATGGACCCTCTGCACTGTTCATAAGTCAGATACAGACTAGTTGCTCTGTTGATATGCAAGATAGAGACAGTGTAATGTGTTGATATGTCAGATAGAGACCATGTGATCTGTTCATAAGTCAGATACAGACTGTTTGCTCTGTTGATATGCAAGATAGAGACAGTGTAATGTGTTGATATGTCAGATAGAGACCATGTGATCTGTTCATAAGTCAGATACAGACAGTGTGCTCTGTTGATAGGTCAGATAAAGACCGTGTGCTCTGTTGATAGGTCAGACACAGACTGTGTGCTCTGTTAATAGATCAGATACAGACAGTGTGCTATGTTGATGTGCCATATACAGACAGTATGCTCTGTTGATATGCTAGATAGAAACAGTGTACTTTGTTGATAAGTAAGATACAAACAGTATGCTCTGCTGATATGCAAGATAGAAACAGTGTGCTCTGTTGATATGCAAGATAGAAACAGTTTGATATACCATATGCTGACAGTATGCCCTATTGATTTGTCAAATACAAACAGTATGATCTGTTGATATGTCGGATACTGGCAGTATGCTCTGTTAATATGTCGCATACAGGCAGTGTGTTCTTGTGAGATGCCAGGTTTAAACAGTATGCTCTTTTGCGATGGCAAGTATAGACATTATGGTCTGTTGAGAAGCCAGGTACATACAATGTGTTCCGTAGATATGTCAGATACACACAAGGTATCCTGTAGGTATACATGGCATTCAGCCATTGGACTGACCCGCTAAGTCCCCTGACATGTCCCCAATAAAGCAGCTGTGGGATGTCCTCGTCGGAGATTGTACGCCAGAGACCCAGCATCCGCCCACGTGGCCCGACTTGGGGCGGGCAATTTACCAAGGGCAACCATATGCAAATTAATCAACAGTTTGTCATCAAGGTGTCGTGCATGTATCGCCCAACGTGGTGGACACCTCAAATACTGATCTGCACCACCAACATAAATTTTACAGACATTTTTCGTCATCACACCTTCACTATCTTTTCATCAGTTCCCTTATTTTTAGTTGGTTGTATATATTTCAACTTTCAAAGAAGCCATACAAAGTACGAGTGTAAGATTTACGCTCTGCAGCAGTGTTGATGTAATGTAGGCATCATTGTTTATGTACTGTAGACATAATTGTTGATGACATATGGAATGGCAAAGGTTACACATGTTTATGTGTTGAAACTGTTGCATTAACTTCATGTTGTCTTTAAAATATAGATGTATACAGATAATTTCGTTGTATTTGATTATCAAATGTGAATGTCAATGACTGCATTCTTGGGCTGAATTTACGAAATTCGTGTCAGAAAATATGTGTATCTTTCGAAATCAAGTCCCTCTAAAATCAGGGTGACACGAAATTTTAAATCCCTCTAACTATAAGTACTTCGATGAGACATGAAATTATAGCCCTAATATAACAATGCAAACGCGTGCCTCCTCAGCACATGGGATATGGGATATGGGAATGAGGAAATTAATTAGGGTGGCAACAGAAACAGGTTTAAGCACCACTTAACCATACTGGTGAGGACGTATGTTTTGTTTACTCAAAAGTAAGTAATTGATTCATCTCAATCTCAATATATCCCATTCAACGTTGAGTGAGGATACAAGTTTAAGGAGCTGTGTGCTATCTGTTCGGTAACGACACTTGAAGTTGACAGCCTATTCGTCAGTGATTGCCATTTGAGGTTCACGGTACTCTTGCACACGTATTATGTAGATTCATGCAAATAAAACGCAATGAGTGTTCTCTTGTCTTCTGTCGTGCCTCTTTTTTTACGCTTCACGAAGCAATATTGCAGCTATATGACGGCGGTCGGTAAATAATCGGGTCTGGACCAGAAAATCCAGTGATTGACATCATGAGCATCAATCTACGCAATTGGGACACGATGGCGTGTATCAACCAAGTCAGCGAGTCTGACTATTCGATCCCGTAAAACAACAAACAGACAAACACAATGTAACAATAACATATCATTTTATTATTAGTTGATTCAGAGTATATCTAGACAAAAACAAGGAGAACTGTACTTGAATAACAATACATAAGCATCCTAAAGTTCAGAGACAGTCATATGTTAGTCAAAGCTATATAATAGCACCAGTATATGGAGAATTATAGCTCATGGTCCTGTTCCACAAAGTGATCTTAGCGCTAAGACGATAGGTTTTTTGTTAAAAGAAACGAAGAGACGACTGGGTCACATCAAGGTTACTAGTAGGTGCACATGTGTGATCTTGTTAATGCTATGAAACTGATAGTATTGTTTTCGTGTATTTCTGTTAGTGAAATCAGTAGAATCTATTTCTGCGCCAGGACACTGAGACAGCATGTCATCACTATTCAACTTGTTAATTTGTACACAAATATTTACACCTTAAATATTCACAAGATAGAATTATATGACAATTATAATGACAACAAATATTGAAAATTGTTGCCTTTAATCTTTGTACTCAGTCATTCAGTCGGGAGGTAAATAAGTCATGCCTTAAATCACTACAGAGACTTCAGTGTGGCGATAAGGAGATTTTTATGAATATTACGGATTATCTATTCACCGTCGCCGAACATACACCGTTAACACTTACAAAGTGTTCAATCCGTAATTCCGTGTTTTTAGTTGGTTTAAGAAAGATGCGTAATGAAAAACTGACATTGTGTTTTCATGACATTTCCAAAAGATAATGGGGGCACGGGTGGCCCAGTCGTCTAAGGCGCCGCGATTCGCTGTGCAGAGTTGCGTCCCTTGGGCACGCCAAAAACCTATGATTGTGGGTTCGAATCCCGGTTCGCCCCGATTATGTTTCTAGGTTTGTCAGCACCATACCCGTGCTCGTGGGTTTCACCGAAGTGGTAAACGTCTAAGACCTGTATCACTTCGGGCTTTCCTCCCACATTAAGCTGACACGCCGCGATATAACTGGAATATTGTTAAAAGCGGCGTTAAACTAAACTCATTCATTCATTCCAAAAGATAACAGCATCACGCACTTAGCAATAAACTGCATTGGTCACAACTGCACCCTTGATATCACCAACGCATTGCATTACATACAAGGATATCCAAACAGTATGTTAATTTCAAAGCAATGTATATTTGGTGTTCATTTTACAAACAGATAATAAGATAATAAAACGAAAAATCTTAGTTGTAGCGTTCGTTTTTACTCAAAAAAAATATGTTCAAATGATTCCAGTTAAACCTTTGTAGTTTTGCTTTTGCTTCTGAAAGACATGTGTAATGAATAGAAATATCTATATGTCCTGGTACCAACGTGCAGCCATGAGACTGGAATGTTATGTAATATACGAATTAAAAGTTCACCGGACGCGAATAATTCCCCGGATGTGCCCCCTGCAGACTGGGCAACGTTCTAGAGCTGGTGAGCACACGCCACATATTATTATGCTAGTGATGCCATGTCCGACAAATGGACGCGAACAGATCCCCTAATGTGTGTCCTGCAGACTGGGCAACGTTCTAGAGCTGGTGAGCACACGCCACAGGCCACCAGATGCCCACAAGGGAGGAAGATGATGTTGGCAGGGTTCTCTAGACAGACCTTACATGTACTTGACTCTCTCAGCTGCCGTGTCTCTTCTTTTGTAGCCATTAACTGGTCCTTGGTTTTATCTGTCACAGACCAAAACATAAATGAGGAATCATATAGGTTCATAGTCCACCTTTAGCGTGACCAGTTAGTGAACTTGTTCTTAGTAAATAAAACATTAATAACATACAATACAAACTGTTTGTCGTTCTGGATAGACTTTTAAAAGAGATAGAGACATTTTGATGAATTGACCTTTGTTACTTCATGTACTTTTTAAACATATTTATTGTTTTTGTAGTGGTGTACATAGCAATCGATATGTATATACATGTAGAAATGTCATCAATGTTGCAATAAAGCTTTTTGCCTATTCGGGCTACCTTTGGAAGAACCTCTTGGACGTAAGTTCAGATAGAAATGCCTGTAGCCCAACATTAACAATTGATCTCTAGCAAATTAGGGATATAGAGCAACGAAATCCAATTTCATCAAAATGTCAGCACTTTAATGATGATTTTCTTGGTAGTTCACCTTTTTTGCGTTTTGTTATACATTATCCAAATAACGAATCATATTCTGCACCAGAATCCCTGGGATGCTCTGTACAATATACGTGATAATCAATATGTTTACCATGTTTTTGATTCCTCTCTGCTTTTCGACTTTGACTGGTAACTGGCAAACTTAGGGAAGCATTGACAGCAGCATTCGAGTTATTGATTCCATTATTCCCTCTTTCACTGTCTGACAAAGTCGATTGCTTCGGAGAAATGTTTCCTGATATTTGTTCAGACTGATGATTATTGTAACCCATATTCGCCCTCTCTGCTGTCTGTGAGCTAGTTACAACATTATGTGATGTGTTTTGCGTTGTTGCTTCTCGGGACGCCATATGTGCCAGATGGACACGGACAGTTCCCCGGATGTGTTTCCTGCAGACTGGGCAACGTTCTAGAGCTGGTGAGCACACGCCACAGGCTACCAGATGCCCACAGGGAAGGAAGACGATGTTGGCAGGGTTCTCCAGACAGACCTTACATGTACTTGACTCTCTCAGCTGCCGTGTCTCTTCTTTTGTAGCCATTAACTGGTCCTTGGTTTTATCTGTCACAGACCAAAACATAAATGAGGAATCATATAGGTTCATAGTCCACCTTTAGCGTGACCAGTTAGTGAACTTGTTCTTAGTAAATAAAACATTAATAACATACAATACAAACTGTTTGTCGTTCTGGATAGACTTTTAAAAGAGATAGAGACATTTTGATGAATTGACCTTTGTTACTCCATGTACTATTTAAACAAATTTATTGTTTTTGTAGTGGTGTACATAGCAATCGATATGTATATACATGTAGAAGTTTCATCAATGTTGCAATAAAGCTTTTTGCCTATTCGGGCTACCTTTGGAAGAACCTCTTGGACGTAAGTTCAGATAGAAATGCCTGTAGCCCAACATTAACAATTGATCTCTAGCAAATTAGGGATGTAGAGCAACGAAATCCAATTTCATCAAAATGTCAGCACTTTAATGATGATTTTCTTGGTAGTTCACCTTTTTTTGCGTTTTGTTATACATTATCCAAATAACGAATCATATTCTGCACCAGAATCCCTGGGATGCTCTGTACAATATACGTGATAATCAATATGTTTACCATGTTTTTGATTCCTCTCTGCTTTTCGACTTTGACTGGTAACTGGCAAACTTAGGGAAGCATTGACAGCAGCATTCGAGTTATTGATTCCATTATTCCCTCTTTCACTGTCTGACAAAGTCGATTGCTTCGGAGAAATGTTTCCTGATATTTGTTCAGACTGATGATTATTGTAACCCATATTCGCCCTCTCTGCTGTCTGTGAGCTAGTTACAACATTATGTGATGTGTTTTGCGTTGTTGCTTCTCGGGACGCCATATGTGCCAGATGGACACGGACAGTTCCCCGGATGTGTTTCCTGCAGACTGGGCAACGTTCTAGAGCTGGTGAGCACACGCCACAGGCTACCAGATGCCCACAGGGAAGGAAGACGATGTTGGCAGGGTTCTCCAGACAGACCTTACATGTACTTGACTCTCTCAGCTGCCGTGTCTCTTCTTTTGTAGCCATTAACTGGTCCTTGGTTTTATCTGTCACAGACCAAAACATAAATGAGGAATCATATAGGTTCATAGTCCACCTTTAGCGTGACCAGTAAGTGAACTTGTTCTTAGTAAATAAAACATTAATAACATACAATACAAACTGTTTGTCGTTCTGGATAGACTTTTAAAAGAGATACAGACATTTTGATGAATTGACCTTTGTTACTTCATGTACTTTTTAAACATATTTATTGTTTTTGTAGTGGTGTACATAGCAATCGATATGTATATACATGTAGAAATGTCATCAATGTTGCAATAAAGCTTTTTGCCTATTCGGGCTACCTTTGGAAGAACCTCTTGGACGTAAGTTCAGATAGAAATGCCTGTAGCCCAACATTAACAATTGATCTCTAGCAAATTAGGGATGTAGAGCAACGAAATCCAATTTCATCAAAATGTCAGCACTTTAATGATGATTTTCTTGGTAGTTCACCTTTTTTGCGTTTTGTTATACATTATCCAAATAACGAATCATATTCTGCACCAGAATCCCTGGGATGCTCTGTACAATATACGTGATAATCAATATGTTTACCATGTTTTTGATTCCTCTCTGCTTTTCGACTTTGACTGGTAACTGGCAAACTTAGGGAAGCATTGACAGCAGCATTCGAGTTATTGATTCCATTATTCCCTCTTTCACTGTCTGACAAAGTCGATTGCTTCGGAGAAATGTTTCCTGATATTTGTTCAGACTGATGATTATTGTAACCCATATTCGCCCTCTCTGCTGTCTGTGAGCTAGTTACAACATTATGTGATGTGTTTTGCGTTGTTGCTTCTCGGGACGCCATATGTGCCAGATGGACACGGACAGTTCCCCGGATGTGTTTCCTGCAGACTGGGCAACGTTCTAGAGCTGGTGAGCACACGCCACAGGCTACCAGATGCCCACAGGGAAGGAAGACGATGTTGGCAGGGTTCTCCAGACAGACCTTACATGTACTTGACTCTCTCAGCTGCCGTGTCTCTTCTTTTGTAGCCATTAACTGGTCCTTGGTTTTATCTGTCACAGACCAAAACATAAATGAGGAATCATATAGGTTCATAGTCCACCTTTAGCGTGACCAGTAAGTGAACTTGTTCTTAGTAAATAAAACATTAATAACATACAATACAAACTGTTTGTCGTTCTGGATAGACTTTTAAAAGAGATACAGACATTTTGATGAATTGACCTTTGTTACTCCATGTACTATTTAAACAAATTTATTGTTTTTGTAGTGGTGTACATAGCAATCGATATGTATATACATGTAGAAGTTTCATCAATGTTGCAATAAAGCTTTTTGCCTATTCGGGCTACCTTTGGAAGAACCTCTTGGACGTAAGTTCAGATAGAAATGCCTGTAGCCCAACATTAACAATTGATCTCTAGCAAATTAGGGATGTAGAGCAACGAAATCCAATTTCATCAAAATGTCAGCACTTTAATGATGATTTTCTTGGTAGTTCACCTTTTTTTGCGTTTTGTTATACATTATCCAAATAACGAATCATATTCTGCACCAGAATCCCTGGGATGCTCTGTACAATATACGTGATAATCAATATGTTTACCATGTTTTTGATTCCTCTCTGCTTTTCGACTTTGACTGGTAACTGGCAAACTTAGGGAAGCATTGACAGCAGCATTCGAGTTATTGATTCCATTATTCCCTCTTTCACTGTCTGACAAAGTCGATTGCTTCGGAGAAATGTTTCCTGATATTTGTTCAGACTGATGATTATTGTAACCCATATTCGCCCTCTCTGCTGTCTGTGAGCTAGTTACAACATTATGTGATGTGTTTTGCGTTGTTGCTTCTCGGGACGCCATATGTGCCAGATGGACACGGACAGTTCCCCGGATGTGTTTCCTGCAGACTGGGCAACGTTCTAGAGCTGGTGAGCACACGCCACAGGCTACCAGATGCCCACAGGGAAGGAAGACGATGTTGGCAGGGTTCTCCAGACAGACCTTACATGTACTTGACTCTCTCAGCTGTTCTGTGTTTTCTTTTGTGGCCTTCAACAGATTCGACTCTGTCAAATCTTTGGTTTCTTCTTTATGTTTCGGATCTGTTTTCTGAGGTTGCATCTCATGGGAGCGTGATTCTGCAACCTTAAGATGAATTTAAGGTGTTTGTAAAATTGTAAATTTTATATAAATTGTATATTTCTTTCCTTATCATATCTCACAATATGTAATTCTCATTCTTCTTTCAATCCTAAGTGGAAACGTGCTTACAAAAAGGTTCATTGTGGTCACCTCCAAACAATCTGGCCATGCTCGCTTCTCATCCCGAGGTACTTACACGCGCTGAACACTCTGTCATATCAAGGGATATATTTTCGCGTTTCGTAGCTGCTCTTTGAGGTTGCATCCCGTTGGAACGTGATTCAGTAATCTAAAGATAATTTGTTAGATGTTTGTAATATATATTTTTAAAAACACATTTGCTATTTTTACCACATATCCAGCCTTGGTAAAAGAGGTTTTTTGGTCAGTAATTCCTGAACTAGAATCTCGGTATTACCTGTGGCGTTGTATCTGTGGGACATCTTGTTGCCAGGAAAGGGCAGTTTGGTCTCAAACGAGCATGAACCCGCCACGGGTCGTCTTCGTCATCCCCTGCTGTGAGCGCAAGTCCACACCGGAAGCACCGAACATTATCCGAGTTGCCTGTAAGAAGGGATGACAATGTGCCAAGATACTCAACACAATTATACATCGGCATCATTAATTACATTGTGGTAGCTTGTGATGGTTAATTCCAAACAGCATCATGCTTTTGAGTGACAATGCAAGTCAGTTCGCAGGGTTGTCAATTCATCCGAGAAATAGTAGGGAATCTATCATCTTTTCCTCCGTTGACTATAATGACTAAAACTTATCTTACCTTTAACCTTAACATTTGTGACTGCTTATTTACTAATGAAAATGAGAGGTGAACAAATCTCTAATTCATCCGACATAAAAACGTTATATAATAAAATCAGAGATTTAGAAGATGGTATTAGAAATGAATTCCAAAATATTAGCGGGGTTAAACTTGCAGAACAGTCAAAATATCAAACTGAAATGGATTAGATTAAACATGAAGCAATAAGAGAAATGCAAATAGGAAACATGGTGTAAGGAGGGTGAAAGCCATCCAGTTCTTTTTGTCACACATTCAAACAATTAATAGTATACATGACATAATTTACATTAGAAATGAATTGCTTTAGATGCAGTTAATTCATAATGATTTTTGTACATTCTGTGCAGAGGAACAAGATGATGTATTGCACATATTTGGAACACAAAATGTAGTAAAAGTAGTGTGGGAAAGTTTCTGAATAACCACGCCATTGACAACCCATGAATCACTGTATGCTTAATAGCATTTGGATACAACGCAAGCAATACACTACTTAACCATATAATACCAGCTTGCTTGAGATGTATCCATATATGATAAATTAATAACAAGAGGCCCAACGTTGAAGAAATTCCCTAAATATTAAAAGATATATGTAAAAAAAGTCAAACAGTTTAAACATGGAACAATGAAAGAAAATGATACGATCTGGCATAAGTAAACGTGTTCATCATTGAATGTATATTTCAGTACAAATACACACATACTTTGATGGTTATATCCACTTTTGATAAATTGTTATTCTTTAACAACCTCTTTGTTACTGTCAAAAGAGACAATGATATCAGTCGGAAACAGAATTTAGCCACTATTCTTTTGGAATAATTACTGTGACAAACTGGCATCCATGAATTACTCTTCAGGTGCAGAAATACGGTGACATGCAGTAAAAATAAGAATATGTTGAATATTATGTTGAAACTATGCTGTATTTAGACCACTGTTGCGGATACATTGTTATACACGATATATCCCCCTGTTACAATAGAAATATGCATTTTGAATATGTCACATTGCAAATTATTTTTCTATGGTTTGTCATTTTGAGCAATCTGAGACATACACTAATTGAAAATTACCTGTATAGTAGAAACCAGCTGCAGAAAGTTCCCGCAAAGAACTTTCACTCGGCCACCCTCGGAACGATGCAAGTCTATTGGTTTCAGAGCTGTAACAAGGCGCTTGGTGATTAGTACCCGTCGTTGGGTGTGGAGAAATTGCAGATGTAGGACGACGGTTTGGATGAGTTATGGAGAGTCGCTGGGTCTCGGGAGATGGATCATGAACATCGAAATCCGAAGTTGGGTACCATAGTCGTGTCAATGCACAGTCAATACTTGAAGACAGTGGGTTTTCGGTAAAAGACACATTTCCGCGATGTAAATCATGGTTATGTCGACAGTTATGTTTATGAGGCACACTGGCAGGTCTTTCCCCATGTTGCCAGTTCCTGTATCGCACGCCGCAGCTGAAGCACCTTGTCTCGTCACCATTTCCTGTCGCATAGAACCCTGCCTTTGCAAGCTGTATGCGGGATACAGCTATGTCCACACCAAAGAATGATTTCAGTCGCAAGGCTTCATAGACCATAACATACTCCAGGGGCACTCCATTCCGAGTCATGAGGTCTTCAAAATTCCCTCTCAAGGATATGGATGGGTATACACGAATATGGGTATGCAGCTGTGGCACGAAACAGTTTGGTGGGATTTTATTTTCATGCGAAGGATCGTTATCATATGACACAACGTAGATGTAAAGCTTGTCATTGTACACCAACATTATTACAATTTGACGTTTCTTCATTCTTACGGATAAGAAATATAGCATGAATGTATGTACACACATGGTAATGTTCCTTCGTATCTCCTGCACTGCAAATTCAAACATATGAATTTAGCAACACACGCCGGGCGATCTCACCTAACACCACAAATACAAGTTAAGCTAGGATGACAACTCTATCTGCTCGCCTATATCCGAGTGTCGGAACATCAAACAGACGTACTTGAAACAGTCACACATATCTGCACAATAGTGAGTGAGTGAGTGAGTGAGTGAGATTTACCGCCGCCTTTAGTAATATTCCAGCAATGTCACGGCGGGGACACCAGAAATGGGCTTCACACATTGTACCCATGTCGGGAATCGAACCCTGGTCTTCGACGTGACGAGCGAACGCTTTAACCACTAGGCTACCCGACCGCCCCATCTGCACAAAAGGCAAACAGGACGCCACAATGTATTAGCAATTGAAGGAACGACACGGTGGACATATAAATAGAATGTGCAACATAGAAAGCGTGTGACCTCCACTCGCTGACAACCAGGACAATACACTGTTACCTGTCCACCGTCAGTAGAAGCTTATGTAAAAGTACATGAAAATAAATGTGCGTTCAATTGATACATTACGAAAATCGATCTGTGTTCACAAACACCATCTCTCAACCAAATTTAGTAAATCTCCACCAATACATTACGGCAACAACGCTAGATTTTTCCAGCACATGTAACTCATATCCTTACCTCGAAATGGCTTTCAATTGATGACAAGCCAATCAACTGGATTAGATAACGCCTGATTTTATTTCCTCTTTCTGATTGGCCGATGAGTTCAAGTGCCACCTGTCTTTGTGTGATATTTATAGCTGGGTATTTCCCTGAATAATTGAGCGTTGTTGATAGCAACATAAAGTCTGGACTTGTACAGCGGAGGGTGCGTAGAGAACTTCGTGAGTACACAAACTAGCGATTAACCTGTAGTAACATTATTAATCAAGTTATTTCTAAACCATAATACGGGGACACGGGTGGCCCAGTCGTCTAAGGCGCCGCGATTCTAGTTCTAGACATGGTGTAAACTAATGATATACATGTATATTAAAGAGACAAGTCAACTATCCGTGCTGATGATATCTAGTTCGAAGAGCTGATGAGTTAAGGGTGCTGCAAACGTATGATAGGTTGCTTGAAGTGAGTGAGTGAGTGAGTGAGTGAGTGAGTGAGTGAGTGAGTGAGTGAGTGAGTGAGTGAAGGAATGTATAACTGTCGTTTCAGGCCATTCAGCACTATTCAAGGTCAGTCACGATGGCATGTAAATAATAGAACGAATGAAAAAATAAGCAACGTTCCACGCCATCGGCACGACGACACCACACAGCAAAAAAAATGCAGTTTCCGGTATCCGGATACCTGCCGGATACCACCGGACACTTACCCAAAACACGTCCGGGTATCCGGTGGCAGATACCTTGCCGGATACCAGATCTGTGGTATCCGGCATGGACACCTCACCGGAAAGTATATCACCTGGAATCCGGGTATCCGGCACCGGATACCTCACCGGATACCTCAATCTGGGTGTCCAGGGATCCGGCACCGGATACCTCATTCTGAGTTTCCAAAAACATGTCACAATTTGGGGGGTGCATTTTGTTCAATTAAGTGTGAAACACCTAAAAATATATTGGAAACTAACCATGAAAATTGAACATTGCTGAAGGTATCCGGCAGGTATCCGGCAGGTATCCGGAAGCAATTTTTCGAGATGTCTTTCTCCTAGTAAATAATGTTAGCCTGGGCATAGCAGATAGCTGTAGTAATATTCTGTGCTATTTTAGTTGTAAATATCCCCTTGAAGTTGAGATCTATGGGCATGTACTTTTGGTGAAAACATTTTTCAAGTTCATATATATTTCAATTTAGATGTTCAGCGTATTAAATGAAAAGCATTCAGTCCTGGTATGATGGTATCCTTACATATCATCTTCATATTCCCAGTTTGTTTTAGCCTAGTGGTTGAAGCATTCGATTCACCACATGGGTACATTGCTTGGTGTCACCCATCATAATATTGTTTGAATTTTGCTCATAAAGTGGCATAACACCATACTCACTCTGACAAAAAAATGAAAGTCATTGGCTATGTGCTCACTTGGGCCTTTGTTCCTGGTGAGATTAAAAGTTTATTTTGGAACTGTATCAATACTTGTTACATCTTGACAGACGAGTTTCATTGAAGTTCGAAACAGAATATCATTAACCCAAATGGGTGCATAAGACTAATGGCATCCACAGAAAACACCCAATAAAGTACTGGTACATAAAAATATCAATGTAACTTTTCTACTGACATGGAACTAAAAACTTCGTTCAGTGAACTGTATTAATTGTAGGAAAACATTCAGGGCATTAGTATATTTGATATATGTTAGCACCTATGTTATGAATGATCAATATCATATTTCTTTAAAGAAGCAAAACAAAAAAATTGTTAAGATAAAAAATCATATTTATTGATTTTATGACATTTCATTGGTTCAGTAACCAGAGGTGTTTGCAAGAACATTCAAAAACAGAAACAGATGCTTCAATGCCATTTTCTAAATAAACAAATTAGTCAAATCTCAGAAGAATTTCAAGGTAGAAGAATATCTAAAGTCAATTATGTTTGTGCAGTAAACCACAAAAGTCATTCAGATTTGTATAGTCAGCGTCAGTGTACACCACATAAACAGTCTCACTGCTGTGGTATTGATTCCTTTAGACTTGATTAATGTCGTAATAAAACAACCTACAGAATCACACTGATGTGGCATTATTCATTCAGAATCATCACTTTCTGAGGTGAACCTGTTAGTTGTTCTGGGGAGGATTATTCATCATCCGGAGAGTCCTTTGTATGACTTGTCTGATCTGGTGTCATTGTGAAATCCAGGTGCCTGAAACAATATATAACATCTTTAAAAGCTTGTTATTAAAAATATAAGAAACACACATATATTGACAAAGGGTAAAAATTTGATTTCTCAATGAGTAAGGTAATGACAATTTATCAAGCAACTGTTAACCAAACCATGTTAACCAATGTAAAAAAGCCATAGCAAACAGTAAATTGTACAGAAAATACAAAATTGTAATTGATCTTCTGAAAACAATTCCTGTAGTGCCATAAGGCAGGCTCACCTGAATTTTTCTCAAATGTTTGCATTACATCAAAACATAAGGAAAGGTAAACAAGGCAATGCAAATTGCATAAAATAGGTTCTTATACATAAAAACAGAACTAAAGTATTTGACGTAATAAGCGCCTCGCTCTAATAAGCGCCCATGGGAATATTTGCTAATATATTGGCTAGTGAACAATCCCAATTAGGACCCTTTCCAATTAATCAATGTATACAAGACTTATTTATTTGCGTATAATACACACTTGTGTGTGATATGCATTATCATATTTTTATCATTTATCCTATCTTTAATTCAGATTAACAATAACGGCAAAAACTGCCAAATATATTGGTCAAGTGTAATCATAATTTAAGTAGTTCTATTTGGTTTTGGAACTTTTCAAGGGTAATTGTAAATCATTTGATTGTTATAAAGTTACACAGTATTGCATCTATCGTCTGTTTCTAAATACAGTGGAACCTATCTTTGACTTGTGTGACATAATTGAATCATACCCCAAGTTCATTATGCATTGTTATGCATCTGCACAGAGTGGTCAAAGTCCTTGTCACACACATAGTTTGCTACAAGGCAGAATCCAATAAGTACAGTTGAGACATCAGGCTGTATCCAGACAAACTGTCTGATAACCTCAAGTATGGTCTTGGTCGCATCAAGGGATGTAGCTAATCCTAAATAAACATTAAACAAGTGACATAATCTCTTCTACAGAACACTTGATCAAAGCCTGCCCCACCTTTGATGTTTATCATCTCGTTACGCTCACAACAGCTCATTAGCAAGATGAGCTCAATGTCAACTCATGGTGGATTAGGGATTAACAGGGCAATAAGTGTCAGGTGGGTATTATCACTTGCAATTGTCTGTTAATTACTTAATTGAGTAGTGACGGCTTAATTAGTTTCCAACCACACTGACTGTTATGTTACTTATCAAGTCAGTTTACTGGTAACATGTGTCTGTGGACCAAGGAAATGTATCATGCCAGATACTTAAAAAGTTCTACTCATAAGTAATAAAATAATGACAGTTTTGATATGCAATTCTCCCTACAAAGACATTTAACATTTGATATACATAAACTGTCTGTTGAAGCTATGATGATGCTAATATACAAGTCGCACTAAACAACCTATTCATATACTGGTACCTAGCCAAACAAACATAATTTTTTTTATGTGTATGCACATGCTTGTACACATATACCTCTACTGGCATATCACACATACAAACAATCATTAGATGGATGTAATCGTTCAAAAATATTTTACATACAAAAACAAGTGAACAGATTCTGTAATTGCATGGTTAATATTGGGAGATGTTTTAGCATTTCCATTTTCACAGAATCGAAGGCATATCCTTTCATGACTCAGATCAGCTTGTAGTGATTTAAATTCACATAAAACTGATTCATGTCAAATGACCTATCCCGCATGTGTGGGACCTGTTATAAAAATACCATTCATTACTTATTTGTGTGTCCAAATTATGCTATTATTAGAAATAATAGGTATTATTATACAGCATGGATATGATATAAGAAAGCTTTATATGGAATTGTTGAAAATTATGTACAGGAAAACATTGAAATAAATCAATCAATACGTGCATTTATCTCAGAATCTGGTAGATTTAATCAATATGGACTTCTCCTTCATTATCTACTTATAATCAGATGATTACATTATTGCTCAACTGATAGTTTGCAATAGTATAGAATTAGTATTTTATTAATACTTATTTTGTATTTCAGCATCATTTAGATAAGCCATCGGCTTGTTTGCAAATCCAGTTCACTATAAAAAAAATATATGTTTAAAACACATGTAGTAGAACATATTGCAATAGTTAAGACCCGAAAAGAAGTTATGTGTAGGATCTTCAAAATGGTATCCACAAGAGCAGGTTGTAGAATCATGTTGGTGTTTGTTGTTTAACTCTGCACTCAGCCATATTCCAGCTATATGACGGCGGTCTGTAAATAATCAAGTCTGGACCAGTCTATCCAGTGATTGACATCATGAGCATCGATCCACACAATTGGGATACAATGACATGGATCAACCAAGTCAGGGAGCCTGATCACC